AAGTAACTTCATTTTTAACATTTCCAACACAAATAGTTTTATTTCTTGACCAGGATGGACAACAATTTTACATTTTTTTCTGGATGAAAGACTTTAATCATGTACCAGTTTTCACATCATAAAGTTGTAGCTTAGGGGCGCCTGGGTGGCTCAGTTGTTGAGCGTCTGCCTTCAGCTAGGGTCATGATCCCAGGGTTCTGGGATCGAGCCCCACGTAGGGCTCCTTGCTCAGCTGGGAGGCCTGCTTCTCCCTCTCCCACTCCCCTGGCTTGTGTTCCCTCTCTCGCTGTGTCTCCCTCTGTCAAATAAATTAAAAAAATAAATAAAAATCTTTAAAAAATAAAAATAAAAAAAAATAAAGTTGTAGCTTGGGTATCCCAGCTGTGCCATGTTGCTAGAACAGTGTTTTGGGGTGAGAACTCAAGGCAAACTGCCTTTGGGAGATCGAAAGAATAGTAGTCTCTTGTTAGTGGCATTGATAATATTAATTGTTTCTCAATTGCCCCAGGCAAATAAGGTGCCATCCTTACTAAAGGTATAGACTTTGAAATGTTTCCCAGATTCCCTTGGAAACAATGTGCTTTCTATAAAATGTGGTGGTCCATTTATCATGTGGTACAGTCCTTCTGATCCTCAGACTGCCAGGAACAGCGTGGATGGTACCTTCCTGTCCTGGGAAAGTTAATTATTCTTGATCAACAGAGTGTAGTCTTTTGAATCAAGTAGCCTCTTTAAAGTGAAATCTGCATTTTTTCAATCATTATATCTTTTTTTTTTTAAGATTTATTTATTTGAGAGTGTGAGAGAGAGCACGAGCAGGGGGAGGGGCAGAGGGAGAAGCAGACTCCCCACTGAGCAGGGAGCCCAATGTGGGGCTCGATTCCTGGACCCTGAGATCATGGACCCAAACCAAAGGCAGACGCTTAATCAACTGAGGCACCCAGGCATCCCCAAAAAGATAATATTCTGTAAATAAGACCAAGGGAGGGGTGCCTGGGTGGCTCAGTTGTTAAGTGTCTGCCTTCAGCTCAGGTCATGATCCCAGGGTCCTGGGATCGAACCCCGCATCGGGCTCCCTGCTCTGCAGGAAGCCTGCTTCTCCCTCTCCAGCTTTTTGTGTTCCCTCTCTCACTGTGTCTCTCTCTGTCCAATAAATAAATAAATAAAATCTTAAAAAAAAAAAAGACCAAGGGAGGTAATTCGGAGGCTGAAAATGTAAAATTTCACACATTTCAAATAATGTATTTTTTTATTTTAAAATTAATCATTTTTAGACTTAAGTAGGGCATGGTTTTAGAGTCTGTTCATTCATACCTTTGTTACCTTTTATGACTAATTAAAATTTGTCAGATTAAATTGAAAGCCATTTGTAGCTTGGTTGATTTCATTTAAAATGTGGTCATTTAGTATGCAGGCCAAGGGAACAGAAGGCATGGTTTGGAAGTTTTCCCATGCTCAGCACTTCTCCAAAATGGATTAATAAAGTTCTTACTCCCTTGAGGGGACTGTACTTTTTACCACTCATCTCAACTGTCTAGTAATTAACATTACTTTAGCATGTAATGTGGGCTGTACAACTAAATACCAGTATTCCTCATGAGTGCTTTTATATATTTTTTATTTTTTAAGATTTTATTTATTTATTTATTTGAGAGAGAGAGAGAGAGAAACAGCATGAGAGGGGATAGGGTCAGAGGGAGAAGCAGGCTCCCTGCTGAGCCGGGAGCCCGATGTGGGACTCGATCCCAGGACTCCGGGATCATGACCCGAGCCAAAGGCAGTCGCTTAACCAACTGAGCCACCCAGGCGCCCTGAGTGCTTTTATATTTTAATATCCACGTATTCTCTCAGTACTTTTGAGTTTTCAGTTTAAGATATAAATACTCCTTGGACCAAAAACTGTAGCGGAACTGTTGCAGAATAAAAGTTTGAGAATCTAGAGACTTGGCTTTCACACTGGGGTGCTATTTATTTGCCAAATTTTTTTCAGTTTTCTTGGTTTAGGCATACTGCATAGCTGTTGTATTAGCAATAGACTTTTTTTTTTTTTAAGATTTTGTTTATTTGACAGAGAGAGAGCACAAGCAGGGGGAGCAGCAAGCAGAGGGAGAGGGAGAAGCAGGCTCCCCACTGATCCAGGAACCAACGTGGGACTCCTGGGATCATGACCTGAGTGGAAGGGAGAAACTTAACTGACTGAGCCACCCAGGTGCCCCTGCAGTAGACTTTTTAAAACTGTTACCTTTCTCTTTTTAATTAAAAAAGAATTAAATGTAGGAGAGAGTACAATACAATACCACACAGAATTAACAAATATTATATTAACAAAAAATAACAAAATTAGCAAATATATAATTTTGTGTTGTTTGCTATAGGTTTATTTTTTAATAAAAGGAAACAAAACTTCATTGCTGTAGTTGAAGTCTCCTTTGTTTCCCTTACATATCTCATTTCTCTTCTTTCCCCCAAGGCAAGTACTGCTGTGCATTTAGTGTCTATCTTTCTAGGTCATGTGTTTAGACATTTACTATAAATATGTATCTTTAAATAATAATTATAATAAAACTTATAATAAGTAATAGATTATAATAAATTACAGTAAACAGGATTCAAATGCTTACTGTTTGCCAGGCACTATTCATTTAATCAAAAACCCTTTGTTGTAAGGATTAAATAAGTTAATACATATAAAACATTAAAATATAAATACTGTTTTTATTTCCACTTTACAGATGGGGAACTAGAGATGTAGAGAGATTTTAAAATAACTTGATCAGGGGCGCCCGGGTGGCTCAGTCATTAAGCATCTGCCTTTGGCTCAGGTCATGATCCCAGGGTCCTGGGATCGAGCCCCGCATTGGGCTCCCTGCTCAGCGGGGAGCCTGCTTCTCCCTCTCTCACTCCCCCTGCTTGTGTTCCCTTTCTTGCTGTGTCTTTCTCTGTCAAATAAATAAATAAAATCTTTAAAAAAATAAAATAACTTGATCAGGTTCATGCAGCTCAGCTATAAGTTATGGAGCAAGGATTTGAACCCAGATTGGTTATAGAGGCTATATCTTTAATCAGTATGCTATTTTGCCTGTCTATAATAGATAGATACTATTTTAAAAAATACATTTTTTTTTTTAAGTAGGCTCCACACCCAGTGTGGAGCTCAACGCGGGGCTTGAACTCACAACCCTGAGATCAAGACCTGAGCCAATATCAAGAGTTGGACACTTAACTAACTGAGCCACTCAAGTGCCTCCAAAATACATTTTTTATTAAAATGGTATCATATTGTAGGATTGGACCAACATTCTTTTTGCGGGTAACTTTATTTACTTTCTTCATTTTTATTCAAGTATAATTAATATACAGTGTTATATTAGTTTCAGGTGTACAATGTAATGATTCAGCAGTTCTATACATTTCTCAGTGCTCATCAAGATAAGTATACTCTTCATCCCCTTTATTTCACCCATCCCCCCACGGAGTAGGGAGCCCGATGCGGGACCCGATCCCAGGATCCTGGGATCATGATCTGAGCCGAAGGCAGATGCCTAACGACTGAGCCACCCAGGCACCTTTGAGTTTCCTTTTTATTTTTAAGTAACCTCTATACCCAACTTGGGGCTTGAACTTACAACCTCGAGATCAAGAGTCACATGCTCTACTGACTGAGCCAGCCAGGTGCCACTGCATGGCTTCCATTTTAGAAAGCAGCCAGACTGAGGCTAGGATATCTTAATTCCAATTCCAAATTGCCAGGAAAGGAACTGTGACTGGTCCATATTGTGTAGAGTGCTGCTGACTTCTGGCTATGGCTAAGGAAGCAGAGTCATATTTTAAGGATGGCCCTGGGAGCCCTGCGGCTATTCTCCATGGTTAGAAGTGGTAGAGGTAGTCTGGGTTAGGTATTCATCACATTTATGAAGGCATTTTACTAATTGAAAAGTCACAATGTTGTATTCTGCCTAAGACCCTTACGATCATTTCTCACGGAAAAAAAGTAGAAGTAGGGAGAGATGGGTAAAAGAAAAAGTGGGTTTGCATTTTTATTCTTAATCATGCACCAGATGGGGTGGAGCCTTCAATAGTCACTTATGCTAGATTGTACTGTTTAATGAATTTTTAAGTTGCTTTTAGATATGGTTTTCTTTCTTTTCTTTTTTTTTTAAGATTTATTTATTTTAGAGAGAGCGTGTGAGCAGGGCGGGGTGGGGAGGGGCAGAGGGTGAGAGAGAGAGAGAGAAACTTAAGCAGATTACCCGCTGAGTTTGATCTCACAACCCTGAGATGAAATCAAGAGCTGGTTGCTTAACCTACTGAGCCACCCAGGCGCCCTGGTTTTCTTCTTTTAAAATTATATGATTTTGGGGAACATGGGTGGCTTAGTCAAGCATCCAACTCTTGTTTTTGGCTCTGGTTATGATCTCGCAGTTGTGGGATCGAGCCTCACATCTGACTCTGTGTTCAGCACAGAGTCTGTTTCAGATTCTCTTTCCCTCTCCCTCATGCTCTCTCTCTCTCTGTCTCTCAAATAAATAAATTAAAAAATCTTTAAATGAAATAATATAATTTTATGGTATAAAATCTTTGCCATTGTTTTATATATTTGGACTTCATTTTTCAAATAAAGAGAAAATAATGTAATGCAGGCTATGAAGGGCATTGGTATGAACATAGGCTTTTTTTTTTCTGAAAAAAAGTATACCTCTTATACTATGTTTTCTAGATAGTAGGTGCTCAAAAAATGATATTATCATTGTTACTTTGTTTTTTAGAATGTAATTGATGATCTTTATTATAGTCTACACATTTTAAAGACTGAGTACATCTTGGGCTTTAAATATATAAGTATTTTTTGAAGGTAAAGGTATAAAATGTTTTTTTTGATCTGAAAATCAAGAGCTAGAATGTGAAAGAGGAAATATTTTTACATTGGTAATTCACTGGTTTGCATGTGTTTAATCTAAATTCATGGTTTTAGTGAAATATCTTTCTGATCTCTTGTTTAGTGTCAAACTGGAAGAGAAGTAAAACTCAACAAAATTTTATTATGTGTGGAGTTCCTTCTTAAAAGAAGAAAAAAGTGATTATTGAGACTATGGATCGGAGCAAACGGAATTCAATTGCAGGCTTTCCTCCACGTGTGGAGCGTCTTGAAGATTTTGAAGGAGGTGGTGGAGGAGATGGGAACATGACCCAAGTGGGAAGAGTTTGGCCATCTTCATATCGAGCTCTTATAAGTGCCTTTTCTAGACTGACGCGTTTAGATGACTTCACCTGTGAAAAAATAGGGTCTGGCTTCTTCTCTGAAGTGTTCAAGGTGAGTGATGCCTCTGCTTTTCTCATTTTGTCTTGTTGATAATCATCTTTACTGCCGAGTTGATAATTGTGTATAATTAGGACATAGGCTTTGTCTAATTGGGGTGAGGGTGCTATGGATCTTGATCAGTCTTCTAAACTGTCCTCTCCTCCGGCTTTGGAACTGCTTGTGGCTGCGGGCCTGGCCAGTGCTGTGCTCTTGCTGGTCCATGTGTGATGCTGTGGCCCTGGCCAGGATACTGGGTCTCGCTTGCTGGCGGGTACCCTGGAGTCATCGGTGCACGTGCTCCCAGATGCACTCAACAACAGGAGAACACAGGAGGGTTCCGGGGATGGCCTGAGCCAGCCAACAGATTGGAATCACCCTGAAGATGGAGACTCTTGTGTGATTTACATCATATCTGCTCCTTCCATTTATTCTTGGGAGGTCTGACCTGCCCCTTCTTCACCAGTGCCTGGAGTCAGAACCTGGATATTTTCATATTTACTTGGTGGTGCCTAATCTCTGCCTCAGACGCTTTGGAGCTGGAGGGGGTGGGTGGGAGAATTTTACTATTGGGAGTTGTATATAATGGTTATTTATATCCTATTTTTTCCTCTTCCATCTCTCCAGAGACATTTATAAAGGCTCTTATCTTAATCAAAAAAATTTTTTAAAAATAAACTATTAACATCTATTTTAATTATAAAAATAATACATGCTGATCAAAACCCCAAATAACATAGGAGTCTCTTGGGGCACCTGGGTGGCTCAGTTGTTAAGCGTCTACCTTCAGCTCAGGTCATGATCCCAGGGTCCTGGGATCGAGCCCCGCATCGGGCTCCCTGCTCTGCAGGAAGCCTGCTTCTCCCTCTCCCACTCCCCCTGCTTGTGTTCCCTCTCTCGTGTGTCTCCTTCTGTCAAATAAATAAAATCTTTAAAAATATATATATATAGGAGTCTCTTCTACTCTCCGTCCTATATATATATCTCTCTCTCTCCAATTAATAATGTGGTATGTATACTTCTGGACCCTTTGCTTATACATATATTATACACACACATGTTATATACATATATAAAAATTTATATTACATGTAAGAAGATATATATACACATATATATCCACACATATAGTATCTATTTGAGTATTTTTTTTTTATTTAAAAAAATTTTTTAAAAAGATTTTATTTTTTTAAGAGACTTTTTTTTTTCTTAAGATTTTTCTATTTATTTATTTGACAGAGAGAGACACAGCGAGAGAGGGAACACAAGCAGGGGGATTGGGAGAGGGAGAAGCAGGCTTCCCGTGGAGCAGGGAGCCCGATGCGGGGCTCGATCCCAGGACCCTGGGATCATGACCCGAGCCAAAGGCAGATGCCTAACGACTGAGCCACCCAGGCGCCCCAAGATTTTATTTATTTATTTGACAGAGAGAGTGAGAGAGCACAAGCAGGGGGAGTAGTAGAGGGAGAGGGAGAAGCAGGCTCCCCGCCAAGCAGGGAGCCCAATGCGGGGCTCCATCCCAGGACCCTGGGATCATGACCTGAGCTGAAGGCAGACGCCTAACCATCTGAGCCACCTGGGCGCCCTTTATTTGGTTATTTTTAGTAAAGTTGAGCACTTAGTGTTCCCAAGTATTAATATTTTCCTGGTTCATTTATTCTCCCAGAACATTATTTGTACTTTTTCTTTCATCCAACGTTCAGTATTTCTTCTGTGATGAGCTTCCTAATTCACTGAGAAAACTGAAGCAAGCTGGAGAGCTTCCATAGCCTCTAGTCACCACAAATAGCTACTAACCCATATCTTCACCCACTTACTTAGCCTTTATACTTGTGACTATGGATAAACTACCCATGTTCCAGTATAAGCCGTATTTCCATTTGTATTCTATATCCTTTGTCTAGTTGCCTACTCAAAGACATTACCTAAGAAAATCTCACCTCTCTTTCCTACATCATATTTCACTTTCTATTAAATGATTCCCATCAACATCTAAACCTTCTATTATTTTTCTCACCTTAAAAAAAACCTTTAAAGGGGGAAAAAACATAATTTTTTTTTTTAAGATTTTTTATTTATTTGCGAGAGAGAGAATGAGAGACAGAGAGCATGAGAGGGAGGAGGGTCGGAGGGAGAAGCAGACTCCCCACTGAGCAGGGAGCCCGATGCGGGACTCGATCCCGGGACTCCAGGATCATGACCTGAGCCAAAGGCAGTCGCCTAACCAACTGAGCCACCCAGGCGCCCCGGAAAAAACATAATTTTGACCCTAACATCCCCTATAGCTATACTCCCTCATGTTTTCTCTCTCTCTCTTTTTTTTTTTAGAGGGAGAGAAAGAGCGTGGGTAGGGGCAGAGAGAGAGGGAAAGAGAGAATCTTAAGCGGGTTGCATGCCCAGTGTGGAGACTAATGCGGGGCTCAATCTCATGACCCTGAGGTCAGGACCTGAGCCAAAATCAAGAGTTAGAGGCTTAACCAACTGAGCCACCCTGGTTACCCCTCCCTCATGTTCTCTTTTTGGACCAAAGACACCTCCATAGCATTGCCTCCACTCACCATTTCTTAGATCTTTCCTTCTATTTTCTCTCTCTTTTTAATTTTTTTTATGGTGGTAAAATATACATAACATAAAGTTACCATTTTAACCATATTAAGTATACAGTTCAGTATCATTAAGTATATTTGTGATGTTTTGTTGCAACTGTCACCATTTTCTCTTTCCAGAACTTTTTCATCATCCCAAACAGAAATTTTGTACCTCATTAAATCATAACTCCCCATTTCCCCCTGCCCTAGTCCCTGTTAACTGTCCTGTTTTCTTTCTCTATGAATTTGCCTTTTGTAGGTACCTCATATTAATGGAATCATACAATATTTGTCCTGTGTCCGACTTATTTCACTTAGTGTAATGTCTTCAAGTTTCATCCACATTGTAGCATACATCAGAATTTCCTTCCCTTTTTTTGGCTGAATAATACCACATTGTGTGTGTCTACCACATTTTGTTTATCCATTCATCTGTTGATGGACATTTGGGTTGTTTCTGCATTTCAGTTATTGTGAATAATGCTGCTATGAACATTAGTGTACAAGTATCTGAGTTCCTGCTCTCAGTTATTTTGGGTATTTAACTGTTAGTGGAAATCCTGGGTCATATAGCAGTTCTGTGTTTAACTTTTTTAAAATTGTGGTCAAATACACATAACATAAAATTTACTATCAACCATTTTTAAGTATACAGTTAAGTAGTCTTAAGTATATTCACATTGTTGTGCAACCAATCTCCAGAACTTTTTCATCTTGCAAAAGTGAAACTCTATATGCATTAAACAACTCTCTTCTTTTGTCCCCCAGCTCCTGTCAGCAACCATGCTACTTTTTATTTCTGTGAGTTTGACTACTCTAGATACCTTCTATAAGCAAAATCATGCAGTATTTGTCTTTTTATAACTGCCTTATTTCATTTAGTCTATGTTTAACTGTCAAAGGAACCACTATACTATTTTCCACAGCAGCTATACCATTTTACATCTCCACCAGCAATGCATAAGAGTTCCAGTTTCTCCATATTCTCATCAACCCTTGATATTTTTCATTTTTCAAATGTAACAAACCTAGTGGGTGTGAAATGATATCTCATTGTGGGTTTGATTTGCATTTCTCTAGTGAATAATGATGTTCAGCATCTTTTCTTGTGCTTATTGGCCTTTTATGTATCTTTGGAGAAATGTCTATTCAAATCCTTTGCCCATTTTTTAAAAAAAATTTAATTCCACTATAGTTAACATACAGTGTTATATGAGTTTCAGGTATACCATAGTGATTCAACAATTCTGTACATTACTCAGTGCTCATCATGATAAGTGTACTCTTCATCCCCTTTACCTATTTCATCCATGCCCCAGCCGACCTCCCCTCTGGTAACTATCAGTTTGTTAAGAGTCTGTTTTCTGGGGGTGTCTGGGTGGCTCAGTTGGTTGAGCGACTGCCTTTGGCTCAGGTCGTGATCCTGGAGTCCCGGGATCGAGTCCCGCATCGGGCTCCCTGCTCGGCGGGGAGTCTGCTTCTCCCTCTGACCCTCCCCCCTCTCATGTGCTCTCTCTCTCTCATTCTCTCTCTCAAATAAATAAATGAAATCTTAAAAAAAAAAAAGAGTCTGTTTTCTGGCTTGTCTCTTTTTTTGCTTTGTTCATTTGTTTCTTTTTTATTTTATTTTATTTTTTTAAAGATTTTATTTATTTGACAGAGACACAGCAAGAGAGGGAACACAAGCAGGGGGAGTGGGAGAGGGAGAAGCAGGGATCCCGCTGAGCAGGGAGCCCAATGCGGGGCTCAATCCCAAGAGCCTGGGATCATGACCTGAGTGGAAGGCAGATGCTTAATGACTGAGTCACCCAGGCGCCCCTCATTTGTTTTGTTTCTTAAATTCCACATATGAGTGAAATCATATGGTAGTTGTCTTTATCTAACTTATTTCATTTAGCACATTATACCCTCTACATCCATCTATGTTGTTGCAAATGGCAAGATTTCATTCTTTTTAATGGCTGAATAATATTCTGTTGTAGATATATGCCACATCTTCTTTATGTGTTCATCTAATGACACTTGGGTTGCTTCCATATTTTGGCTATTGTAAATAATGCTTCAATAAACATATAGAGAACAAGCGTATATCTTTTTGAATTAGTGTTTTTGTATTCTTTGGGTAAATACCCAGTAGCAGAATTACTGGATTATACGGTAATTCTATTTTTAATTTTTTGAGGAATCTCCATACTGTTTTCCACAGTGGCTGTACCAGTTTGCATTCCGACCAGCAGTGCATGAGGGAGGGTTCCTTTTTCTTCACATCTTCCCCAACACTTGTTTCTTGTGTTTTAATTTTAGCCATTCTGATAGGTGTGAGGTGATACCTCACTGTGATTTTGATTTGCATTTCCCTGATGTTGAATGATGTTGAGCATCTTTTCATGTGTCTACTGGCCATTCCTTTGCCCATTAAAAAAAAAA